CAAGTACAGTATGCGCCAAAAAATCAGTACTGAAACTCGCACATCTCAAACGTGAATGTGTGTTTGTCGATGGGGCATAGCTCCAGCTGCACGTGTTCCCAGTAGTGAAAAGGTAGTTGTGTTGTGCAGTTGTTGGAAATGGGTCTCTCGACGGAGGAAAAAGTATTCATAGTTGAGTATTATTTCCGTTCATACGGAAGTGGATGACAGACAACTCGCTTCCTTCGTTTTGAGCGGCCAGATGTTATTGTCCAGGAACTGCTACATAGTACACGTGTGACGATATGGTGTCCCGTCTCAGCACATGGTATTAGGCCCCTATTTCATTGAGGATGAGGAGGGCAATGCTCTTACCGTCATCCAAGAACGCTACAGGGACATGGTGAGTGGACCATTTCTTCAGGATTTAGAAGATCTTGTCGTGTAAAGGGCCTTCACATGAATAGATAGTGGTATCAACAGGACGTCTTTTCATTTCAGTACTGTATATTTTGGCGCATACTGTATTTATTCAACTGTGAAACAGTACTCCGTTCATCTTGCACTTATTCTTTAAAAAGCACCTGAAGTTTATCTTCTGACACTGTACACACTAGTCAGTTTTCTAAATGAAGTCCCCAGATAATTTGCCCCCACTTGACTGGGGGTGTACCGTATACCACAAAACAAACAATAAATTTCAGAAGACATTTGATAGTTATGCAAAAATAGATTTGAAATATACCTTTCCCAAAAAAAATGACACAAATGGGCGCAGCAGGTACAATGGACCCGAAAGTGGAAATATGAATTTAATAATCATGTGTCATATGCTGAGGACATTAAATGCTGCTGCTAGCTGGCTTTTGTAAGAGTACTGGAGAGACAGAGGAAAGAAAAGGGGGGAAAAATACTTTGATATAAGGAAACTTGTTTTGTCTTGGTCTCATAGTCCCATTGTAACTACTGGAAGGCTCTGTTACTGTATCAGCACACGTGTTTTCAGGTAATTACTAATTTCCACCATAGAATAAATTAGGTAGCTGTGTCACCTTCTGAGGTGTGAGCAACACTGTCATCAGGGTACTCAATTTTATATTGTAATGGATCTTCCATTTATGATAGCCATGTGGATTTCTGCATAAAATAATGCTTTACATGTTAAAAATTTCAAGCATGATAAATGTGCACAAGACTGAGATTATATTTGATAAACATAATCACAATATATATTAGTCTACGTTATGCACAGAAGTGGCTCACTAAATTGTATGATTATGTTATAATTCTTGCTAGCCACATCATATAGATTAAAGAATTTTTTAAGAAATTGGGCATTTTACATTTTGATATATTGGGTTTTTGGACTTTATCCATCATCCTGTCAGTGTGTTATACACCATCGTCAGAATCGTATTGTAATTACACATTTTCCCATGCATATCATTTTCGCTTCAGGCAAAACCCTTTCACTTGTTGAGCATACATGTGTAACAGTGACACTCCAATCTTGTGTTTTGAAAGAGCCCAGTTTGAATCTGAGCCCAGTTACTGATTAACATGGCTTTTTCATGGTCTTTCTCAGACTTTTCAAATTAATAGTAGGATAGTTGGCCTATCTTGAAATAGGATGTGTCTGCCTCTTTACAAATCCATACCTACTCACTAATTTCCTTCCTATCTCATTTCATACTATAAATCTCTACATCTGAAACAGTTGTTGAAGAACCTAAGAATCACTTAAATTCAGTTCATTTGATTTTGTGTCTGCAAGATGAAAATTTCATGATTTCTTTTGGAATTCTTCAGGTTAACAATTCAAAGTTCAGTATGCTAAACATATCTTGTATGTTCAGAACAGAGTACAATAACATGATAGGCCCTTTAATACAGAACTGAATTGTTGGATTAAGAGCTTGTTCAAACTAAGAGAGCACATAAGTAAATATTTCTGAAGTTCCACATTTGGGGATCCATTCATATGAATCTTTATTCACATTAGTTGATTCATCTATTGTTTAAAGTACTGACTGCAGTGTAGTGGCTGGAAATGATGAATTGAGTGCAAGAGTGGTCTGATTTGCAAATGTACTTATTATTTTGGCAAGAACTTAGAAATTATATAATTATTCAGTTATATAAAATTATGGTTAACAAATTAGTCATTGACATTTAGGTTTGTTTAAAAAATCATGCACTATCTTTGATCTGTCCATTTCTGTCTTTGAATTGCAGCCAGTAGTAAAATAATTTTGTTCAAACTGGATGCATTTTGATGAAACAGGTATACACAATTTGGAAACTTGTCAGACAAACTGTGTTATGTTCCACAGTGATCCATCAGTGTTGTCACTTGAATTTAATGAAAATGTTTGCCTCTCTGTTCAATTTCTGAAAATTTCCAAGATTCTGATTAAATTCTGTACTAAAAGTTTCCTAGCATTTTAGATTTTTGTTGATGTTAATCCATCAGTTTTGCCAACAGACAAAGATACAGATTCCACTATTACACCATTCACTTCCTAAACCAGAATTCTGATGAAATACCTATATAGTTAACAAACACTGACGCAGTCAAATACTATTTCAAGTCATGTCTGTCATTACTAATATATGGAAATGAATATACTATTTTCATGAAAGTATCCATTTTTAATTGTATTCTTTTCTAGCTTTGTCTATTACAACTTGAACTTTTATGGTTTTCCTCATTTTGTATAAGTCGTTACATCATTCTTACAATAAGGACGACTTTTTTTTCCTCTTGCCTTACACTTTTGTATTTTGATTTTGAATTCATAAAAGGGGCCTGAGTATATAATCATAATGTAGTATTCTGATTCACACCTACTTTTCCATGAATGCCTGGAATATGCAATTATAGTAGAATATGAGGCCTGGAGGAGAAATTTAAATGCCACTTACTTCAAATTTTGAGTGAGAGGGACTTCAGAATGTTCTTTACACTAAAATTCTGTTACAACTATTCTTCCTTTAGTTCTCTTCAGTCTCAATGTTCTATCTCCTCCATTTATTGAAAGTGCTGCTAAACACAACTGTTTCTCAATGAAAACTGACATTTTCTATTATCATGTCTTAATAGATGTAAATGCCTAATTTCATCAGATTTTTCTGAATTTGATTTGCTTCATTCTGGTCCATCACATTAACAATATTATAACAATATTATACACCTATTTGGTTTATAAATTCTAACTTAACTAACAAAAATAAAAAATTTTAATATATCAAGACAGCCCCTGTAGTTGTAAAAACTCTGGATTTTGTATCCGTTTGTGTATTTCAACATTGTATGTATATTTTAACACTCAGAACATCTATTATAATAGTAGTTTCCAAACTGTATTGATGTTCCTCTGATGATGGTCTCTAAGGACCGAAACATGTAAGGGCATGAAGAATTGAAATAAGAAAAATCTTCACCAGTCACGCTGGACAAAACTGTTTTATCTTTTTTTAGATTTTTCTCTTTATCCATCATTATTACAGAACACATTTCCAGTCCTATGAATATTCCATAGCACAGAGCAAAAGTTAATGCAAGTTCATAAGGATAACCCTACAAATGAGGGGACCCTCCGCTTTTGGATCACACTTGTTGAAACCTATTCATAATAATTAATTTATCTACATGCACACAACATGAGCAAACGGTCAAAAGACTTTTATTTTTGTAACAGTTATATGAAACTTCATAAAGAAGTTAAGAGTTTTGTGGCCCTGAAATCCACATGGTTTGTGCCATCTCTGTACAATATGTATGTTCATTGTGTGTCTTCAGTATAGCATGAAAGAATTATTAATCTCCATTAAGAAATAAATATGGAGATATAATATGAATAATGTTATATATTAAAAGCTAAGTGTTTTGTTGCATGTAAAGAAAATTATCAGTAGTAAGAAAAAACTTGTATCAAAGAACGTGAAAGGAATTAGGCGTGAAAGTCAGCTATGATATGTGGACTTTTATTTGTAATTTATCATCTATGTCAGCCTCAAAGGGAAAAGTGGCTTACAAACCGAAAACTCATATTATTGTCATAATTTTTGTAACATACATAAGTTACATTGTATTTCTCCTCATTTGGTGTCATAATCATCTAACAACCTAACCTGTCTCAGTTTCCTGTCATTCTTCCAAGGGTGTTTATAATTTAATAAAACTGGATATAACTACAGTGTCTGTGTCATTTCTGTGCCGCATTTTTAGTGATACCTTGTAGTAGTGATGTGAGATGTAAAAGAGACAAGAAATTAAAATCCTGAGATCTGCAAGAAGGGAATTCATTTGCACACAGATTTTATTCTGCATGCATTTTGATGCTGCAAGCCATAACATATTTGAAATTATGTATACCTATGTTAATTCAGGCATACTGTTTGCAACAGAGAACGATTTTTAGGGAGGTAGGGGATGTCTCAAATAAAGTTGTACATCTTAATGAAACATATATTTTATGAGAATACATATATTGGAAGAAACCATAGAAAAGATGTGATAACAGCACTACTTCTGGCAGTCAGCTATTTGTAAGGAAGAGGTAATTTTACTTCTTGCTCTAATATTCATTAGCATTGCTTTCTGGCCACAAAATGCATTTGTGGATTTCTCCCTGTTTTCAGAATAACCAGTGACAGATCTTCCACAGTCAGATATAAACTTGCTTTTCTATCAAATTTTCTGTGCATTTTCATGGAGATAGGCAATTACTACATAACAATATACAGCTAAGTTTAGCCTTTTAATCCTTTGCTATGTCACTGACACTCACTTTATCCTGGTATCCTCAGACCACTTACTTTAAGTGTCCTTCGTACAGTATGTGTTAGTATCTCATGCACTGTAAGTGATGTTCATGTGACGAAGGCTTAAAAGGTTAATTATGGAATTCCTAACATCTCTCATCACAAGTTGTTTCATGAGCACTTGTATCACATTATCACTATGCACAGCACTGGGTGAAGGAACTCTTCCATGAATCTGTCTTTTCTCCTTGCAGGACACACCTCCTGATGCACTGAATCTTCTGGATGTCACCGAGTCAAGAACACCATCTAGCTGGAAACATACCATCACATCCCAATCTATCTCCCACACTTTATCACCAAACAAAGCTTCCACACACACTTCAAATTCTCATAATGCTAAACAAGCTCTAGAGTCCAAAACTTCTGTCAGTAGTCATAAGTCCTCTGTGTTGTCAGTTTCTGTGCAACAGTCCATTACTGGAGGTGCCACAGTGAAACATTCAGACAGCAGGAGAAAGTCCACAACCCAAGAGTCCAATCCTCTTGCTAATAGTTCTCCCTCTCTTGACAGATGGAATCTACAGACAAATTTAAAGAATTCTGAGATGAATTCTGCACAGTCAACAAGAGACTTTCCAAACACAGACATACCTACTGCAAAGGATATAATTAAAAACACAGAGACAATGGACTTCAATGGTGTTCCTAACAAACTGAAAGCTACTACCAGATCAAGGCAGAATCTCCTGACTAATTCATCCAAAATTACATTGAAAGAAACTCAGAATATACAAAGGGAAAGTTTCCCAGTCACAATACCATCAAACTTGAAGACCAATATCACTACCATAATAAATAAGTCAGCTGCAACTGAATTTAATCTTAAACCAGATAAAATTATAACATCATCTGCAGCAGTCACCTCAGTACTAACCAAAGAGAATCCTTCAGACACACAAAAATACAGTGACTTTACTACTGAAGTAGCCTTGATAGTAGACCAAAAATCAAAAAATACCATACAGTCCCAAAAGAAATCTCTTGGAAACAATTTTCTTTTACAAAATTTCCATGATATAATTATCCCATCAACTACTAAATCCCCTCCAATGAAGACCATAAAGACTGTCTTTTCTGACCCAGCTGTGACAGAGAACATGCCAGTGCAGTTTGCAGTGAAGTCGACTCCCCCACCTAAGGGGAGAGTGGGCAGCACCACATCCAGAGTTGTCAGAGTACGAGATGTCAAAAGTTCCCTGCAGCCAGCTGCAACTACTGTATCGACCATTAGTGACAGAACCATCTCCCAGAGCAGAGTTCAGGCTCGGGCAGCCACTGAGGTACCAATCAGTTTCACGACCACAGACCTTCCTATTACAACCACTGATCTAATTGTAAATGATATATTCACATCAGACTTACCAACTACAATATTTGAAACTCTAAACTTGCAAACTACAACTTTGTCAACCACAGATGCACTAAGTATGACTGAGCCAAGTTTTGATTTGTCAGCCACAACTGAACTTCCAACAATTGCTCCAAGGACAACCATTTCAAAAACCACAAATATTCCAGAAATTTCACCTATTCCAACCACAACTCTTCCAGTAACCACAACCTCTGAAACAGTTTCGACTATTCCAACCACAGATACTCCAGCAACCACAACCATTCCAACCACTACAATCTTTCCAGTAACCCAAACCATGCCAATACCCACAACTACCCCTACTACAACAGCATCTCCAAGCACTCCTCATCCACAAGTCACAACTATCAGTATAATAACGTTACAAGATGCAGACAGTAATGTCCGACCACTTTCTGTCACACAGACAACCCCAACTGCAGTCCCTCGAGTGTTCACAACAACACTACGTACCCCGGCTCCATATGTTATATTTGGCATCTACCCCAATGGAACAGTGTTCAGGAAACTTCCTAACTCAGACTTCAAAGAACAGGTACATGAAAATGAAATAGCTCGACGAAACCCATTTTATCCTGACCAGCGTTATTTCAGCACTACCCCTTCTGCACCAGCACAGTCTGTAGATAGTAATGAAATTACACTGCAAGCACCAAGCTTTGATGATGGCTTCAATGCTGTAAGGAACCAAATTCAGGATGAAGATGCACAAGTAAGGCTACAATGAGCTTCTGTATTTGTAGTGGTGATTGGGATGGCTTGTAATTAAGACACTGCAGTCATTTACTTTTCAAACAAATACAGTGCAAGACCGAAATAACATGGCTCATCATTCATTTGTATTTGTATTTATTGTAGGTTCAAGAGATCCAAAGATGGATATAGAATGTCATAAAATAATATAGAGCATAGAATACATACATAAATATTACATAACTAGACAGTACAATGAATACAGCAATAATAAAAATTATCTATTTAGACATTGATCCACAGTATAAAATGTATGAGTATTCAAGAAATGCCTTAATACAACCATAAATTTTTAAAATTATTAGATGTGTTCTTGATCTCTATGGGCAATTTATTGAATATTTTTATACCCGCATAATAAATTCCTTTTTGATAAATAGTTAAATTAGCTTGAGGTAAATATGGAAGCACAATAGATCACTGTAGGTTGTGGTGTGCAAGGGCCCCCTCATACATTCAGTGAGGTAAATACGAAAATGTCCTAGCATCAGTGCATCCCAGGAAAAAAAGCGTTGCTGTTCTTATGTGGGTGTAAAGTTATTATACATGTTTCAGAAAGTGAGAGCAAAAGCAAGAGAATAGAATCCCTTGTGTTACATATTTTCAGAATGTCTGAAAACCCTTAGATCACTGCTCATTCATCACATGTACCATTTTTTCTGCCAATATATACTATTCTTCTTGCAACTCTGAGCAATGTGTAAAAAAAGTCAGGATACGTTCTGCATTCATTTGTGGAACTTTCAGATGATTATAATTCTTGAAAGCTCTCTTCTGCTTATGAAGGTAAGTGACTTAATGATACTTAGGGAAANTAAGTAATGCATGTAGAAAGCAATAACTTTGACACATGTCTTGTTGTGTTATGTACATATAAAACACAGTCATTTAACTTGAGGGATGAACATAAATTACAAATGTTTGAAAACAAAGTGGTCAGGAAAATATTTGAACCTACAAAGTAACACATAAATGAGTGAATTTAAGACATCACATAATGAGAAATATTACATAGGTCACCTAGTACTGTCAGTAGAGGAAATCAAGGAGACTACAGTGAATTAGGAGTGCAGCTATGTTGGGAAAGACAAGGACTGCATAAAGAATTTTGGTGGTTATGTCTCCTGTAAAATGGCCACCAAGAAGAAAATTGGAATGGTGCTATTAAAATGGATTGTACTGTATTGTATTTATTAGCATTCATCGATCCATTCAGGTACATGACCATTGGATATAGAAATTGTCAGCAGATTACATTGATATTTCCATAAGTTTGTCTTAACATAAAATAAATAAAAATTAAAATATATATAAGACACTAATGCATGCCACTAAAATACAAGGCTATAATTACTGGGATACCCCAAGGTAAAATTTATTATTCCTATCAAGATACTCTTCAACTGAATAAAAAGTTTTCTATAAGAAATTTTCTCAATTTATGTTTAAATTTATTAATATGATGTGCAACTTGCTTGATATTGGGGGTAGAGAGCTAAATAAGGTAATATCGGAATAATATACTCCGTTTTGAACTTTAATTAGACTTACTAAAGGTACATGAAAGTCCAATTTGTGGCAGGTATTTTCTTTTATGCAAGGCAGTATTTATTGTAAAAGAATCCTTATATTGGGATATAGTGGGAGTGAAGAGCTAAAATTCCAAGTTTATTAAACATTTCCCTTCAGGAATCCCTTGCTTTGGCTTTCATGATAATTCTTACACTTCATTTCTGGGTATGAAAATAGATCTACTGTGTGGCGAATTACCCCAAGACATGATACCATAATTTAACAATGAATGAACATAGGAGAAGTAGATCTGTTTCAGGATTTTCAGTTCTAATACAGGTCTGAGGGAAGGAACCATGTAGCCTAACGAATTTAACTTTGAATTTAAATAATCAATATGTTTTTTCCATGTTAATGAAGAGTCTATTATAATACCTAAAAGTTTAATGGAGTTAGTAGAGTTAATTTTAGGAAAACTGATTGCGAAGATTGGTTGTAGATGCGACTGACTCAAGATCACGTTCACTGATGAGCTTTGATGGTAGTGGTGTTTAGTCCTCAGGTTTTGTTACCACAGTCTTAGTTAACACGTACGTATTACATTTTTAAAAGCAAAATCCTGTTTAATGCGTGCATATAGTGTAAGATGCAGGCTGTGAAATTCAGCAATCATATGTAATTTGTAAAATAATACCAGACTCAAAGATTGGTTATCCTGTCTATTTTTTCGGTTTTTCTTGGGGACTCTAGGCAAATACCAGAACTGAATTTTAACTAAGCGAAAATCACTTCCTTATACACCCTTCCAAATTCATTATTTACAGGGCACCCTATCTTTCAGTGCTACATAATATGTACAGTTCACAAATTAATAAGCAAGTCGCATTACTCACAGATTGTTCAGGTCATCAATTCTTCTTCTTTACTGGCACTACAACCCTGTGTGCCTCTCAGTCTCCTCCACGGTTTTGTAAGATTAATTTTTTCCTGGGAGGCTCATTAGACCCATGATCAACCTCCAACCTGGAGGAGCAGGGACTTCTCTTCATCTGACCCCTACCCTTTGACCTCTCTAGCATGGGTGACTCTACCAGGAGCTTATGCTTCTGCTGGTATAGCTCTGTGGGACATGGGAGTATGCTAACCTCCTCTTCACAATAAGGCAGTAATTCTCAAGGAGGCCTGTCCTCTAATATCTGTTATTTCGGACTTGCAGTGTATTTTAAGTTCAATTGGTGGCAAAGTAAATATGATAGATAAGTAGTGGATTAGAAAGGTCTTTGATTCATTAGATTGGAAGCAACTTAATTCCCAATGTGACACAAGACACAAACATCCAATATTTCTATTTTAATTGATGTGATGTGCTACATCAAATTGGGTAACAGCTGATTTAACTACAGCTTCATATAGGAGAGTCTGGTAGATATAATAATATTCTGACCCGCTTTAAAATTAAAATATTCCAGAGATGATACATGTAATGATACTCTGGTTGCAGCACTTCAGCTTCAGTCCTTTATGGACTACATGTAGCTGCATAATAGTGCTTCTCTTAAAATGTACACCTACTAAACACAGCTTATAGATGCGGAAATTAACCACCTGTAGAAGACATTTAGACATGATGAGCACAGCAACTCTGGCATCATCGTGTGCAGGTATCGAACACAGATGGAGAAGCTGGAGGTTGTAGCAATGATATTGTCTCAACAAGCTGTCTCAAAAAAATCAGCAGGCTTTTCACCAAATACAACATTAAGGCATCCTATGTTTTTACGAAGAAAAATATTCTTATGCTTAGCTTTATTGATGACCAACTAGACTTAAAGATAGCAGGTGTACATTTCATATCATGTGAGAGTGGCAAGGTGCATGTTGGATAGATAGGCAGATCCACCAAGACCAACTGTAAGGAACACACAAGACACAAATGCCTGGGTGAGCCAGAGAAGTCTGCTGTGCTGGAGCACAAATTTGAAACATGACAAAATATAAATTTAGCAGCAACTGTATATGAGGTAAGGCAACAGGATATATGAACCACTTGATAAAGGAGGCTGTATATGAGTATATAAGGCAACATCCCAGAACATTTAACAGAGGAAGAGGTTTCAACCTCAATCAGTCCAGGTACTGAGTGACTAATATGATTAAACAGTTCAGATGTACACCAGTCTCTTGACAAGATAAAACCAAGCAAACTCATGACTCAGCCCACTAACCCCTACTGGCTCATCCTCATGGGCTGTGGGTTGGTATATATATGGAACAGTTTGGACCACAAGTCACATAATATCTTAGTGATCATAACAGAGAAACGTTGGCCATTTTTGATCAGCTGACATCTCTGATAGTCCAAGAATATTTAATCAAATTAGCTGGCATGGAAGTTTCGGATCTTAAGTATCTTATTTCCCCTTACCTCCTGTTAGTAGCACAAAACTTAGACCTCCTAGCTGGGCTGATCACTTCACTGTTTTGGAGATGATTTCTTTGTCTCCTTCTGCCTCCTCCTTTTCCAAATTAGGTCCCCTGATCTGTTCCCAGTCAGAATTAATCTGAAATTGTAAATCATACAGACAGTTGGTAGACTCCTTGCATCGAGGGTCAACTCACTGCAAGACCTCCACCTGTACAGGACAACATAAACACAGAAAAAATACATATACCTATGCCTCAAGTGAGATATGAACCCATGATCCCAGGGTTCAAGCAGATAGAGACACTTTGGGCCTTAGACCAAATGGCCACTTTGATCAACAGAGATGATTTATATTTTGTGTATGACACAGATTTCATTCTTCTGTGGAAGTTAGGATTCTATCATCAGCATAGGATCTAATGACCTCAGTATTAATGTAACAGATTTGATCAGTGCATTGCCAGGCAACAGCTCTAAAAATATAGACCAATATGCAACAATAGATGAGGCTGTTTTTTCTATGTAATCTGCGCTGAGCAGTGGTGGAACTGGGTTATGCAACCCAGGCACCGGCTCGGTAAATACATTTCTGCATATCAGGCCGTGCTATGAAAGCAGTGATGTTAGCAACAGTAGAGACTGTTTTTTCCAAGGGGTCTTTGCAGAGTACTTAGAAGGGAGTGACAGAATTTGTTCAGGGCCGTTATGAGGGAGACGTAAGCTGGAGGAATGTGTAATAGATGAGCTTCACTTGAGTTCCAAAGTTCCAAGGGAACAGCAACGTGGCCAAAAGAATAATTAGAAGACTTAGTGTGTGACATTACATGTGCTGCAGTACATTAGTGGAGTGATTGTAAATTGTGTAAATGAGCAATAGTGTAATAATTAATTGTAGCTATTACTTTTCGGTGGCTAATAAATTCAATTACCAACCCAAAACCGCATCTTAGTCACTGATACATGTAAGAGTATTATGTAATTTATCTAGTAGTTTACTGATTGCTCTGTATCTTTGGCACTGATTATCTGTTGGGCTATGATCCACTTCAGCCAATATAGAATGTAAGGCATCTGCAATTTCTTCCGCAGAGTCAGTATCAATATCCAGGATCATGTAACATTTCTGTCATTTACTGCTACATGTACCAGAATTTGTCAAATAAAAAATAGTTCTACCATCAATGGATGAACTACTGTCAAGTTCTTTATATATGAAGCATATAATGAAATGTTGTCGTGAACTTCAGCACAGTTCTTCTCTAGTTCTCTAGTTCTTCTCAGTGCAAGTTCAAACTTGCACTGGTGCTCTTTTGTAGCATGATGTACAATAGTAAAGGTTCTTAAGAGCCTGTTTCCAAGATCCAAAAGTAAATACGAATTAATGGTAGCCTGCAGGTCTTATGAGGTGGAGTCAGTATTACAAACATTAAGTCCTTTTCATTTCATGTTCCCTCACTAACCTGAGGGCTGGCCTAGATGGAATGTTGTACAGTAATATCATATGCAAAATCTAAATAATGCAAATGCATAACTTAACTACATGCATCTTGTCCCATCACAGCATATAATGTGTATGTAAAAAATATGTATTCCATCAAATGCGACTTGTTTCATAATACAGAAGGCTCTCCAATCACTGGACATACAAAATTACATTTGAACTTTGAGTTGTTTTAGGTTTGTCTGAAATAACACCCAAGACTAGACTGAAAGTTTATAATTCCTTAAATCCATTTACTTCTAACGTTCTTGAATCATTTATGGATGCAACCCATGGCCATGCTGTATGAATATGTCTTGTCTATTCCTGTCCAGATTTGGAGCATCTGTTTGTCTTGCAGGTTCCACAACTTCCAACAGCTGTAACTACAAGACCCCAGGTATGCTGATTAACAGTTACACATACTTGGCAAACTGTTTGTAACAAATTTCTTTTGAAGAAGAACTTTTCTCACAGACTAGTTACATGAGTAAAAAGGCCTGTATTTGCCTCATATCTGAATTCTGGTGATGAATAATGAACCTGGAATAACGATAGGTTTTTGTTTTGCAAGTATGCAGTTTAATATTATCACCTGATCATGCTGATACATGGAACTCCTGATGTCTTGAGATATTTTGGTCTTAACTCTACATGACTGAGCTGTAAAAGGAATTTCAGCTGAAAATAGAAAATTTTTCAGCCTGCTCAAATCTCTGGTGTTAGGTTTTCTTCCCTCTCTTTCTTACTTCCATACATTCTTTCTTTCCTTTACATTTGTATGATTTTATCTTTCCTTCTTGTTTCTTTATGTTTGTCTTATTTTGTATTATTTTAATCACTTTTTTTTTAGGTATTTCCTCTTCTTTCTGAAGAGTTAACAGGGTTATCACAACAGATATATCATTTTGATGTTAATGCTTTGTCTCCATAGCTGCCTCCAGCACCCACTGAAGCACCATCACAAACATCAGGGTTCGCGCTGGGTAAACTCATATCTAATGCACTGGTGAGTGAAAGCAAAATGTCATCGGTTTTAACAAATTTTGTCATTTTATTGGTTACAATACATGTACCTTCACAAATGATCCTAAGTTCCAGAGCATATTTTATAAGGATTCTCTAGGTCACTTCATCTACCTTGACACCTAGCACTGAGTATACCAAAACAGCTTATAAATACTGGAAAAGGAAAGTACTTAAAAAATATATTCGTACTTAAGAAGAGTTTTTCAAACAGGAATCTTCCCTGCTTTCCATAATTTTCAAGGATAATGTCTCTTTGATGCAGCTGAATATCTAAACCAGTTTCAACCCTTTGCAGAGAAAATGACCTCTACATTTTAACAAATTACTGTTCATATTACCTGTCTCTGTATATCCAGGATATTGATCCTCAAAAAGGTTCCTTGCCATCAACACGTGCAAAATTCCTTGCTGAAATAGTGAGGAATTCCAACATAATTACTGCTCGCACCACTACAACCATGACTACCACTGCCACTACCACCACCACCACAGCCAAAACGACTACAACACCAGCTCCAATGCCTGCATTGCCAACATCAACAGTTGCAACACCCAAGGCAACAGCAAACCCAGCAGCTGGGGTGCTCGATGACTTTTCCTTCCTGAATGTATTGGTATGTCTTTTTTTTTTTAGTGTCTCTCACAAGTATGTCTCATAAGAAAAATTTGAATATATTAACTTCTCCACAGAGATAGTTATCATGTAACGCTTATTGACAAAGCATTTTAAAATAAACTGTATTTCAAATATGCAAAAACAATAATGATAATGGTATGAATGATGATGAACATTTGTCTTTTTTACCTGTTGTTTACTATATAAAGAAGCTAGTCATGAATCCATCAGTCAGTCAGTCAGAAAATATGAGATGTTACATCAACACGTCTATTAAGCACAGTTCTATCCGTTATTTTAAGTTCCTTTATTATACACCATGTTTCAGTCTACTGGCCATCATCAGGCCATTTAACATATATAATCACCCACTCATTTACCTCTGTCTTTAACGCAAATTAAAAATGTTCACAGTCTCTCTTCAATTTAAAATAACATTAAAATCAATTCACTTGCTATATGTTTTGGCATTACTTGACCATATTCAGGCAATTGTGCACTTTTTGAAAACTGTCGCACCACACTAGATATTAAGTCAATATATGTCCATGCTATTGCATTATTGTGCCCAAAAATGGATGCTGCAAAAATAAAATAACACGGAAAGGAGAGAAAATTTTATTCTAAACAAATATATTTTAGTGTGAACAACGATAATGCAATAGCATGGAAATATATTGGCTTAAGCTTTAGTTCAGTGCAGCGGTTTTCCAGAAGTGAACAGTTTCCTGAAGACGGCCAAGTAAGGCCGTACATGTAGCAATTGATTGATTTTAATGGTGTTTTCAATTAAAGAGAGACTGTGAACTTTCTTAATTTGCATTAAAGACAGAGGTGAATGAGTGAGTGATACATAATGCAACAGGATGCTCAAATGTTGTATTATATATATATAATCACTTAACTGTAATTAGCTACACTGGTCAGTGTTTACAAATCTGAGTCTATATATGATACACTTATTGAGTAAATTATACAGACTATTACTCTTTTAATTTGTTGCAGTTAGTTGGAGTGACTGAGAAAAAATATTCATGGACTTAGTCATCAGTTTCCACACACACAAATTCAAAATTGAGACCTCCTGATACAGTGTTTTAACCTACCAACCCACTTCTCCAAGTGTTGTACTGATCATGAGACTTCCTGTTACAGCTTCTGGGGCGACCTCCAGATGACACAACTAAGCCTGGCAGAAACCAGGGATCATCAATTGCAAATCGGGTGAGTTGAGCTAACAACAGAAACTTTGGCCTAGAGCCTGAATAAAAACAAGTTTGTCAGCTATTAGCAGTAAACTACAACTTTTCATAGGGTTTCAGACTCTGTCATTTCTGCATATTTGCTGTTTAGTGACATTTCCTCCTATCAGTTACAGCCTATAATCTAGTTCTAACATGTATCCATTAGTATCCTTTCTGGAAAGGGTTTCTTTATAATTTCTCTTCTATCATTTTGTACTGTATAGCAAACCACATGAAGATCTTCTCTAGTATCACAATTGTATCCAAATGAGTGCTTCTTGACCATGTCTATAAAAATATGCGTTTTATGTGAGAAATTACCAGCCCTCCACACTAACTCCTAGCGAGAGGACCAACAACTACAGTGTTTCTGTCTCCTCTCCATCTGGCTTGAATCACCTTAACAGAATCTGAAGCTGTCATGTAATTCTTGTAGTAAAAATGGCACATTTAAAGCTTTTCAAACATCATTTTGAGTCTATAAACTAAACTAGAAGATATATAAAGTAAACTCCTGGTTATCTGGTATCCAACCATCCAGGACTCTCATGTAACTGGCAAACGGTTCAAAGATACTTATCATTTTTATATGGTTACTCTGAAAGAGAAAGTTGCAGTGCACCCACCATGCAGCAGTTCTCCCAGCTGCTTGTAGCAGTACTGCCTATCATTTTCCTTCATGTAAATGCCATTAAATTCATAGTTATCCATGATTACAGTAGAGGCTAGTTGAATTGTGACCACATTACAGTACTTACTTATGGAGCTTATCCCTTCTTGAGGAGAAGCCAAATCCGCAGCTACTCAAGAATTTCCCAGCACTTTATGGAACCTGAAGGTTCATTACCATGTTCACAAGAGCCACCCACTGGTCCCCATCCTGAGCCAGATCAATCCAATCCATACCATCCCAATCCATATCATCCCATCCCATCCTATCTCTCTAAGACCCATTTTAATATTGTCCACCCACCTACACCATGTTCTTCTCAGTGGTCTCCTTCCTTCCGGCTTTCCCACCAATATCCTATATGCATTACAATTCTCCCCCGTTCGTGCTACATGCCCTGCCCAACTCGTCCTCCTTGACTTAATTATTCTAATTATACTTGGAGAAGGGTACAAGTTATGAAGCTCCTCATTATACAGTTTTCTCCAACCTCCTGTCACTTCATCACTCTTCGGTCCAGATATTTTCTTCAATACCCTGTTCTCAAACACCCTCAGTCTGTGTTCCTCCCTTAATGTCAGAGACAAAGTTTCACACCCATACAGAACCACAGATAAAATTACAGTTTTGTATATTCTAATTTTTATGTTTTTAGACAGCAGACGAGAACTGGACTGAATGGTAGCAAGCATTATCCCAGTTCAATCTCCTCTTAGTTTTCTCCTCAGTCAGATTTTGGTTTGTTATCGTCGTTCCCAAATATCTGAATTGTGTCACATTTTCAAGACATCTTTTTCTTATCGTTATGTCATGATTTTGCTCTGCATTTTGGTGACAAGACAGCAACATATACTTGGTCTTCTCTGCGTTTACTTCTAGACTAACCTGCTTACTTGCGTCAATTAAAGTTTGCGTGTTTTTCTTTATGGTATCTACATTATCACCCAGTAGATTCACATCATCAGCATAGACTAACAGCTGATGTGTCCCGTTTAATTTCAGTCCCACCTGGTTTTCCTGGATCTTCCTAATGGCATATTCTAAAGCAAAGTTGAAAAGTAGTGGCGATAAAGCATTTTTTTGTCTTAGACCATTCTGGATGGGAAATTTATCAGACAAATGTTTACCTATATGGACCTTCACATTACAGTTCATCCAAAATATTCCTCCTATCAATTTGCTGTCTTCTAACAAGGCTCCAGCACAAAGACTAACATGAAGACATGCTGTTTTAACTATGGATTCGCATAGATTTCTGTTTTTCACATGCAACTACTGAACTCATGTAAACATAACATCCCATTCCCCAAATATACATATTAATGTGGAGTTAACCATATAATTTTTCTCTTGTGCCTGATCTTCTTGCCATGAAGATGTGTGGGAATCATGGATGTGGAGTTCCTTATATTCTAGATCTCTGGACTACTGTAAGATGAACTGGCAACACCAAAAATATTTCTGAGGAAAGACAGCTTGAAAATTTGGTTACAACTTATATTTGAGCCATGTGAGAGCAATTTTACCTGTTCCCTATAGCCCTACTAGCTGTGTGTCTCTGTACTGACACATAAATGGTGCCACAGACTGTGTTCGAGATCATTCGAGTTTTCATTTTTTTTTAATATAATGTATGGTATATTTCCTACTTCTACTTCAATTTTGATTTTTTCCAAAGATCCTCAGGAGGGGTTGTTGCATCCTGACTTGCCCCCTCTGCTTGCATCTATGGTAAAGTAATTAGTTAGTTTCATTCTCCAACATTTCATGTCTGGGGAAAAAGACAAAGTGCCAATCTGAAGTCAGTGACAAAGAGAAAAATCTCTGAACCAGTCTTACCCTTGCCTTCCCCAAATGTTTCCTACTAGAGACTACATTTCATTAAGTTTTCTTCTGCACTTTTTTCCTCCATTCTTTTCTAAGTGTTTATTCTATTTCTAGCTTTAATCTATTGCATACACATTATATGATGCCTTAATTTTTCATTTTAATTGCACTTTCACATCATCATCAACATGATTGCCATATATTTTTTGTCACCATCTTTCTTTCTCATGACTCAAGCATTACTACAATATGTCAGTGTTTGTACTCTACCATTGTTACTTAATATATTTGAATTTTATTTTTCTTTTTATTTGTGTGTGTGTGTGCATGTGCATGTGTGCGTGTGTGAGCTGATTGTTATGTGCATACACATGCATGTGGGTGTGCTTATATGTTCAATTTCTATGGGAAATTTCATTATCATGTAACCAGATTAAATCTTGGTCTGTTATATTCCATATTCTTGTCTTATCATTGAGCTACCAGGATTGCTACCAAGTTAAATGGTAATAATTGTCAAAATATATAATATAATGACTATAATTAATGTTTAGTGAAAATAAGAAGCCTGTAATCAAAACAGATCATAAACTTGTACCAAACTTTATTACACTGTTCTTCCTATGAATCTAAATATTTTCCAAGGGAATCAATTCAGTTTATTGTTGAGATGAACAAATTTGTGTATCGTTCTCATTATGTTGTTGCATTTTATTTATTGGCTTTGCAGAAAAGAGAATAATGTAAGAAGTGTAAGGTCACTACTTTCATTACATATTGTAGAATATGAGAATTTTTTATAGTACAGAATACTTGTCTTGCAGATCATCCAAGTGGCTCTTGAGAGAGGAAATAGCTCCAGAAAGAAACCTTCTGCAGTAAGTAAATGCTGGCACCTGAACTGTGAAGTTTTACTTAGAACATATTGCAAATTGACAGTTTTAAAGCCAACTCAACTGCAATGAATATTCATATAAACTAATATAATTAAAATATATAAGGTGAAATTCAAATTGAATTTAAACTAACATGATCCAAATTTAGGCAGAGGCCTTTCTTCTGCACCGGATGAAAGAGATTTCACTGCCATAATTCATTTATTGAATTAGATAGTGATATTTCCTTCACACCATCACATTGAATTGGGCATCACGAATTAGGTAGCAACAATTCCTCCACACCATACCAAAACTACTGTCATTAGGTACTTTATTTTTTTAATTACAACCCAATGACATCTCATAATAACTGGAACAGGTGGGGGCATAACCAAATAATCCCCCCACCCCCAATTACTGTATTTAAGGAAAGTGGATATAATTTATGCTCTCATTTAAATGTTCATATTTTGAGAATTGACTTTTTATATTGTACATGGAGTACTCTTTTTAGCTGCTTTAGGCTCACTGTTTATTGACAGTGACACTTTAAACAAAACGACTGCATTTCACTGTTACCTGTGTCTGAACACTTAACTCCTTTTGGTAGAAACATAATAGCACTTTGAGTCAGGGCAGCATTTGGACCCTGCTAGGCTCACTTGTTCTATTTCCACATCCTAGGTTTTTTACCTGTATGGATATATGGAAAATAAAGGAAATGAATGAAAGAAGATGAATCAACAAATACAATATAGTAAAGGAACATGAGTCAATGAGTCAGGTTTAAACTATCATTGCACTGTTGAAAAAGACAAAGAAGAGAATCAAAACATTCAGTTTATGAAAAGGTTTGATACAGTTAAAGTAACATGATATCTACCATTTCTAAATTCTGATTTACTTCACCCCATTTTCCATATATGACTTGCTGTCATCAAAAATGGAGCCACATATACCAAGTGGTGCCCATTTTATGAAATTATGAGAGAAGAGAACAAGTTCCCAGGTGTTCATGAGAGTTTTTTTAAAAGGCAATAATACTTAAGTAAATTCAAGCATTCCAAAAATTTGACAAACTGAATCTGTAGTTTTAGAAAATGTGACTAACAGATCACCTGCCTCTCAAGAAAATGGAAATTATGAGTAATCCTGCTTATTACACTCTGATCAATAAATGACTGAGAGCTTAACAGCAAGATAACCTGGAGCAGTCACATCCAGAGAGAAATGCTTCAATTTTCTGAAAATATGGGTATAGACAACAAAAGCATTAAAGATGTCGGCTCAGCTCCATTTCCTACACAGAAAGATGGTGAAGTACCTGATCTGATTAGTGATGGAAGTATAGATCGATCATGTTTACAAGATAAAGATAATGCAAAACAATGCTTCTTATCATGATTGTGGATGTGTTTGTGTCAGTTATCTTTGTACACCAACCTGGCAATCCTTACATAGCCTGTTCGGCTAGGCTTGATACTAAGAAAATTGAAAATTTTTAACCTAGGTGCAGTTAAGTCTACCAAAATAAAATATCCATAACTTCATAAACCGTTTTCTGGTCCAATTTCCTATTTTTCATAATTTGGTCCATTAAAAAAATTACTTAAAATTATGCTTGTCTATTTGTTTAAATATTTGGATTGACATCATGCCTAATATGTATACATCAAATGAATCTTCCATAAGAAAGTACAAAATATATTCTTTCAATTTCAGACAACTCCTAGAGTAACAACACCAAAAATGACAACTCCCAATACAGCTACCCAAACACCAACAACCCCCAAGGCAACAACTACAAAGGCATCCACTTCTGCATCACAACAGCCTTCAATGGAGCAGAATCAGGAAGATCTGGCAGCCTTGCTGAAGTTGATAGGAAACATGGTAAGTCTATACATTTTATAGTCATGTGATCTTATTCATTTGTCAGCTGGGTGGACTTATGGGTAGGCGGCGCGAGACATGATTATGCTGTAGTTTGATAAGAACTGAATTCCATTATGCACCCATATTTGTAAAGCAACCGTTTCTGTTCCTGGTGAAAATATAATTCAACCGTTTTCTCCTTGAAGCCATATGTTTTATCATCAGATATCACACAATGCTGTACAAATGAAAATTTGAAAGCAAATTTGGTGTAATAATGTTGCCAGCATACAAAGATTGATATTCCACTACTGCTTCCGTTTTAAAACTGTTTGAGTGAGTGAGTGAGTGAGTGAGTGAGTGACTTTGCTCTTCTTGGGTCTATTGGTCTGATGTTAATAGAGTGAATGAGATACTTTAACATTTTGTCTGCAATATATATAACAACACTTAATTCTTTTTAGCAAAAATGACTTGTTCTTTCTGTACTTTTTCATAATAATTTCAGAATTTCATTTGTTGAATGTTACATATGATCGCCTTAAAATGTCGAGTGACTGCAAAACAGATTTCACTGACTATGAACAACTCGATGGATCAAAGTTATTCTTAAGGAACTGATAGTTGCTTGATTGGTCAAGAAATTTTCTCTCTTTGTGGGACCCATATATTTATTACTGTGTTCTCAAAAGCCCATTATTTGACCCTATCCTGATCCAGATTAATCCAGTCCGTACCCTCACATCCTATTTATGATCCACTTTAGTATTATTATCCAATCTATGACTAGGTTTTCAAGTGGTGTCCTCTATTCAGATTTTCTGACTTCACTGATTGTGATTACACAAGAAGTATTTTACGAGGGTCGTACTGAAAGTCATGAGCAACAATTTTTTGTAGAGTAACATGCTTTATTATTGAGAAATCAAATACACCAACTCAATCTACAGACCTTTCTTTATTTTCCCACATAATCGCCACTTCCTTGTACACATTTCTCCCAGCGTTCTGGGAGTTTGAAAATTCCGTTCCAGTCATCTGAAGACACTGACGCACTGCTTTCTGAATTGCCTCCCTTGTCTCAAAACTTTGTCCACACAGCTGATCCTTCACAAATCCGAAAAGATGGTAGTTGGAGGGTGCCAGAGCAGGGCTATAGGAGGGGTGTGGAAGAACTTCCCACCACATCTTTGCAATTGCTTCCAATGTGAGGCGAGTGGCATGGGGGCGAGTGTTGTCATGCAGGATGACGATGTTTCATCCCAGACATTTATTGTGCAATGCACGACGGAGCTTGTGCAGCGTCTGGACATAACGAGCAGCACTGATGGTTTGCCCAGGTTCCAGGAATTTGGCCAGAATAAACCCCTCTGCATCCAAGATGACTTTGCCAATCACCTTCACAGCTGATAGCACTGTCTTTGCCTTCTTTTTTGATGGAGAATGCAAATGGTGCCATTCCATACTCTGCCATTTCGTTTCAGGCTTGAAATGGTGAAACCAGCTTTCACCACCTGTCACAATACAGAGCAAAAAAGCATCGCCTTCATGTTGATATCTCTGCAGCAGTTCTGAGGTGATGGCTTTTCGCTGACCTTTGTGGTCTTTGGTCAATAACCATGGGACCCAACGAGCACAAACTTTCCTATAGCCCGAGCTTTCAATCATCTCCTGTACTGCACTGTGCCCTATTCCAAGTTTTCGGGCTATTGTATCCACAGTCACACGCCTGTCATCTTGAATGATCTCATCCACTCTTTCCTTGTTGCGTTCAGTTGAGGCTGTTCGAGGACGACCGCTCTGAGGCTCATCTTCGATGCTGGTGTTCCCATCTTTAAAATGTTTCACCCATCTTCGAACACTGCTCGCACCCATGCACACACTTCTATAAGCACGCTGAAGAGTGTTGAATTTCTGCAGCAGGGATTTCCTCTTTCACAAGAAATTCGATGACAGCACGCTAGTGAAACAACATATCGTTGTCGGCCATTTTATTAGGAGTGATACTGGTCACGTGATGCAAGCTATTGACATCACAACACACTCAAGGTTAACACAACAGCTAGTTCCACCTACCACCATACTCTCTTTCATCTGCTGTTCCCAGGTGGCATGCAAAAAAAAAAGTTGCTCATGACTTTCGGTACGACCTACGTAGATAAAAGAGAATGATTTCCAATTGACATATCATATTGCAGCTTGGAAATTATTATTGCAGAATTATGAAATTACATTTTATGTGGCTAGGAATCCACGACACCAGGAAACCTGACTCCCAGTCAACAGCTGCTTGCTGACTTCCTGATAAAACAGGCAACATCACAGCCATCCGAGAGGAATCTTAACAACCAGATCAGTATACAGGTTAGAACTTAAACTTGTCTTTATGTTTTATCACTGACTACACTTCAAATTCCTTTTGCACTAATTTTATATTAATCAAAGCCTTTAATTCTAACATAAGTTGATAATGCATATTTAGCAGGACTGTACTCATAGGATTTGTGTTTTTGACCTCCTTGCCTGAAATATCTAGAATAAATAGAAGTACCTCCTTTGTAAAACTAAAAAAGACATTATAGTGGCTGAAACAACATTCATTTCAAGAGCATATTATATTTATAAATTAGTGACACAAAATGAAGTTTGTAATAATTTACTTCTCAAACTGCCTTCAAAATAAGTGTACTGTTCTTCAGCAGTGTTAGACTAGTCTCTGTTACCAAATAGTTGATCTGCTTGTGAAGTCAAGATTACAGTTTTCTGGGATGTGGCACTATGTAGTTCGGTAGAAAGGTGTTGGTGTATCAGAAGAAACTTACTGTGAAACTACATAGCAGCACATCCCAGATGACCAAAATTCTTGATGAAAATTACTGACTTTTTAATGTGACACCATGTTGTTTAGTGACAAGCTCCAATATTTTAGAGGAATCTATACACTACATGATGTCACATTCCAAAAGTCAGTAATCTTCATAGTCACTGCTGTGATAACCTCAGGTCTCACATAATTGTGAAACATATTAAAGACTTTATATTGAGGTATGATTACCTGAATTTTGTAGCACATGATTCATTCTCCATGACTGAATTTCTTCCATTGTCTTTTCCAGTTCATCCTCTTATCTCGTCCAGTGCTAATTAACCTTTTAAACTGTTGGACTGGGGGGCCTCATAGTGGTGCCATTAAGATATTTGTCTTCTGGGATATAAAATCATACAGTCCAGTGAATGTAAAGTGATGTTTCAGAGAACCATACCATCTCAGTCTTCAGGGTCAAAGAGTAGGCAAAACAGGAAACCTGCATGAAGAAGGCAGCAAACAGAGCAAAAAGCATGAAAGAATAAAGAATTATTTGGAATAGGACATTAGAGACCTCTCCCCCACCCCCCTTGGGTCCTTGCCCACCACACACGTCTTCTTTCCCCATGTTCCCATATCTACACTAGAGGCCCAACCTAGTTACTCATCTCTTGTCTCCTACTGGTGCAATCTGCTTCTCAGGGGAGAGCCAATGGGAATTGACAGGTTGCCTTGCAAGTTCCTTCCTATTCTACATAATCTTGCATTCTTCTGTATATGGCTTGCTCTACTCACTGCCTGTTTCATGCTGGTTTCTTGTTTAGCTTACTTTTCCACCTTGAAGAAGGAGGTGATATGTTGACCAGTTGACTTTCACCAGACTACATGGCATTGTACCTAAGAAGATGATCTCCTTCCTGCTCTTCTAGGATTAAATGCTTCAAACCCATTTGTGTACATGCATTTTCCAGTGCCAGGGTACCAAACTGATGTTAGATAGTCTGACAGAAGGGCTACCTCATCAAGATGATCAGACAAGCATCTCTGTACCGAGACTGTTGCAGAGGCTTTAAGCCTGTTGTTCCAGAGATTTTATGCATGATATTCAGGTCACTCCATCATATATTGCAAGCTACCCATCCACTATCCAGAAAATGGATTTTAGTGGTTACAGGGTTCATCAAGCATGAGGTGATAATGTATCATGAAATAATGCACAAAGCAACCAAATGTGAACAAAGACTTCAGATGCCTGTTCCATGTCACTTGGCAGGATGTCTTGAATCCTCCAGCCACACCAAAAACGTCCAAGAAGTTAAAGTCATCTCCAACCACAGAAGCAGCTCCAGGTCAACTGCTTGGGGAACTGTTTGGTCCACTGATTGGTGGAAACCAAGGTGACACCAAGATCAGAGATCCCAGGGCTGGGCAGGGATTGGTAGAAGCTGCCATCAAGGCAACAAAGACTGTGTCTCAACTGATGGGTTCTGTGATCCAGGTAAAATGAACCATTGAAGTTTTTATAAAGTAACCTGCTTTTGTAAGATATTACATTCCATAATTGTACACTGTTCCTATGAAGTGAATAACATATTGAGGAGCTCCATAATTGCATTCCTTAACCTAATATTATTAAGTTGTCTACAATAAGGATGAAATAGTCAAGATATGTAGTACACATGACGGGAATGAGAAATGTGCACGAGAATTTGTTTACAAATCTTTGATGGGAAGAGACAACTTAGGATACTTAACTGTAGATGAGGGGAAACAGTAATGTAGGTCTTATAAGAATGTTATTGAAGATGGTATTTAGATTGAATGGGCTCATAAAATGAGGAATTTTCTTGCCCAGATGAAAAGCTGTCAATTGTTCAATAACATCTTCACGATATTTAATTATTTGCCATTACCAATAATATCTCATTTAATAAAGGGGTGAGTTCTGAACTGGATGACTAGGAAATAGATTCACAGCATGGCAGATGGTAACCCCTATTGTGTCTACTGGGATTCACTCAGCTCTCAATTTAGTAGACACCAGCTGCTTTGGTTTTGTAGATAAAGCAGCTGAGCAGTTGACTTTACTTTTAATGTATTAAGTGCATCAGTGCTGTTTAAAGCAACTTAAGAAGGAAATGAGCTACTTACCAAAAAATGTTTGAGTGTAGTTTAATATCAAAATTTTTGGTTTTACTTTTTGGCTAGTGTAAGGTTTGAAGCGCCATTTCATGTTTCAAAACACCATCTACACTGCCAGTCATGTCACTGTTGTTCGTGGAATGATGTCAAGTGACAGAATGTTTTCATTTCAGGGGGCAACTAAGTCACTCCAGTCATTCATGAAGTCATTGGCATGGGGATCAGGAGCAGGTTCAGGCTGAACAGAAGTGCCTGTACAATATGCCATGGTAGTACTTGCTCAACTTTTTGCCATGATGAGGCTTCAGTTATTCTACCTGAGGCTTAAAATATTTCCCTTGAAGAGGAATTTGTGTCGTAATTTTACTTCTGATTCACATCGTATGCAGTGGGAGCAGATTCAGCACTGCCATCCTAGTTGTCTCCATGACTACATCAGGGCAGAACTTGAGAGGCCTGGTTAAGAGGTTCTGCTGCTCCTCACTTTATAACTTCAGTAGTAAAATGAGCGATATTTTACAACTTTGTTCCATAACTTTCTTCATTTTTCTTTTTGATATTTTCTATCTTTGTCTCTCTTTTTTTCTTTTTGCCATGCCTTATATCCTATTTTCTTTCTTTCTTTTTCCTTTTCCTTCCTTTCTTTTGTAGATAAATACTGGGTTGTGTCAAGTTTTGGATCAAGGGAAAGCCAACAGAATCTGACACAAGGTGGTGGGTATCAGGTATCAGCAAGCCTGGAATCAGTTCTGATAGTAAAAGAAAGCACACTTTGAATGCACATATTACAATTTCCAAACTATTTTTGCTCACATTCTGCTATGTAACAAATTAATTTCGCCATATGGTCACATCTAATTATTGGCATTACTTGGAGTATGTAACACAAAAATATGTAGCCTGCATGCAATTTCTTACTATTTTCACATAGGAAGAAATTGACTGGCTGATTGATTGATTGATTGATTGTAGATTAGTTTAGACTCTACATCTCGACATGTGTGATTGTGACTATAGAACGACTTCACACTGATTTACAAAAAACACAGTGTCTGTTTTGCCAGATTCCATTGACATGGCTTGTCTGCACAGTAGCAAATATAAGTTAACAGGATTTTCCATTCTGCTACCAAAATCAGTCATTTCCCTAGGATCAGTGTCAATTCTTCAACCTTTGTTTTTCATTTTTGGAACTAAAATCTTGCATTTTCCTTACCTTTTCAAGTAACCATCATAGGCAAGCATTTTCTGGCTCTCATCTTTCTTCTGATTTACCCTATTCAGTGAGAGGTTAACAACAATGCACACCTGCAACTGAAGAGTGGTGTGTAGAGGGTGCAGTTTTCACCAAACATATGAATAAAAAAGTTTGCTTGTGAATATTGTTCATATTCATTGATGTGAATTTTGACAGTTTCATCTCCTCTCATGTTATTTTTGGCACACACCTGCCATATGTTGAAAACAAATAGTTTACTTCAGTCACCATCTTAATCTGAAGTAATTCAAAGTGATAATCCACAAGGGGCTATTAATGCCTTTCTCTTCAGGTCACACTTGCTCATGATATTTATGAAACTGGCTTATACATTACAAACAGCAAATCTCCATTGAACACAATTCTAAAATTCCTGAACACTTATCCATTTCAGACAGATTTCCATTTACTACAGTCATATAGTTCTAGATAAGCAAAATATTTCACACTACATACTCCATATTTTTGTCCAAATCACAGGCCAAAAATGCACCCTATATATGTACTAAACAGTTCATATGTTCAATTTCCATTTTTGTATCCCATTGGAGTGTTCTCACTTATTTTATTATCACAAGGGCCCAATAATTTCCCATTTGTGACAGGTATGTTCCTTCTTAGATAATTGTTAGGAAGCACATCCCAGAACAAAACTATATAACTGTATAGCACTAAGTACAGACAACCAGACTACAGAGCTCAGACAGGTTTTCTTCACGTAGAAGGACCTCAATGTATATTCTTGTCAGAACTGAATCCATGATGGCTTCCACAGACAAAGCCAGAAATGCAACACATATCCCATAGCAACTGACACTTCTAAAAGAATTTGTAGTCAGAAACCCCTTCTGTGGGACAGACACTGGATTATGGATACCAGTTTCACATAAATATTTCATACATTCACTATTTATGTTCAAGGTGTAAAGAAAGTGTAAAATGAACGTTAAATGGGGAGGGGGAAGAATCACTCTATATGTCTGCATGTTCCATCTGTAAAACTAATAAACAAATTTTGATATTTGATGCTGGTGATCCACTAAAATTTGTTGGGGACTAATTTAATTTGGGCCCATAACAGTGTTGCATCACTCCTACTTTACATGTCGCTCAAGGTGCACTTATTGATATTCTAGAAAATAGCTCATCATACAAAAGTTTAGTATATGACATTAAATGTAGACAACCATTAATGTCTACAACTCCTATCTAAAAGATTTCTTAATATAGTGAATACTTACCAAAATTAAAGAAAATGTGGTGCTGTTTTGGCCAGGTGAGCGACTACTAGCTTCTCAAGAAGCGCTCCACTCTGTGGAATTAATTGACTGTTAGTCATGCAGCATGTGCCATGTTAGATACAATTAGTATGAGAAGTGGAGAGTCAGTCTCAGGGCTACCAAAATAGCAATTATGGTGGGACGAGTGGCACTGAGTACTTTGATTTTTCCTGCCAGTTAGCATTCACCAATATGCCATTTTCTTATCTACCATCCAGGACTGGTACAGTGGGCCTATTTGTTGTTTAGTAACAAGGACTCAGTCTCACCCCAGGCCAAGAATAAAAAGAAAGTTATTCAGGGTCATATCTGTGGCTTCATTAGTTTTGTAACAGTAAATTGTTATATGCACTAAATGAACACAAAAACAGGTGAGGCATGTAAAAGAGCAAAGTGAGCATTTGGAAAAAATGTGTCATTCATTTATATACAGCTCTCCACTCTACTTAAGTAAAGACACTCTTATTAGAATCATTTAATCAGTTCAACAAATCAATAAATTAAAGTTTAACTATGTTACACAAATACAATGATATCTAATAGGATTCCTCCATCCAGAGTGATAGAAAAAACAATCAACACACAGGTGAAAGATGGTTAGAAAGATCTCAAGAGGGATAGAAAGGTTAACTTTTTTTAATACTGGCCTACTAGAACCAATATGGAGGTAAAACCTGGATTTTTAAAACTATTTGGCAATAACATTGAACACGCTGTCCTGTCAAAAGAAATGTTTGCACGACAGAAGTATAACACAACTTTGAATAAAAAGTTATACCTTCTATAAAGTCAGTAAATAATACATGAAATTTTTTCTTTTTTAGATATTAAAAGTTAGGCAGTAAATTAAGATTTCTGTCTTCTCTAGTATGGCACTATGTAATATGCTGCTAGTTTGTTACTAGCATCTTGGAATTTATATTTAACAGACAAAACAGAGAGAAAATGTAGAAATGTAAAAGCACGTGCCTAGGTATATCTGTAATTCTTGCTCTGTAATTCTTTTTGGTACATACTGGCATAAAAGAAGCTCTTTGTTAGCTTCTAATGAAATCAGCATTATTTACATAGCTTTCTGTATTTGTACTGAATACAGTGCTATGTTTCTACCCTGTACCTGTAATATTATACAGGTCCACAGTTCTTCAAAAAGCAGAGTTCTTGTCACTTAAGTGATGAATGTGGCTGTATGTGGAAAATGTTTGCATTTCTCAGTTATCTCCATAACACTTACATTATAAACTGAATGAGTATTATCATGAATGGTGTCAGGATTTCTTCCAAGGGGGAGGCCAGGAATGTTGCTTACAAATTCTTTTCAGAATATTTTTTCATTAGCCTACAATTATGGGTTTCTGCATTGAAACAAAGACAGTACCCCATTTAAAACTAATTTCAATTTTTGGTACTGATATTTGTTTTATTTCCTATTTCAATATTTATCATTTCCCAAAAATCCAGAAGGTGAAAAGATGCCTGGCTAGCCCCCACTAGAAAGTGCCTGTGATTATTTAAATACGTAATGTCAGTGGTTACGGATGTTGTGCTGTCTGTTATAAATAAAGAAGTTTAAGACTTGGAGTTTTATATTTTTTCATATGAACTGTTACAAATACATTGTACAAGTTCTTCATTTTATGTGGTTTAATTTCATCATTCTTTGTTTCTTCAGCAATGCTTTCTCAGGATGCCACAGTGTTTAATAATGCAATACGCTTAGAATGGACTGGCCTATTCTTATTCTGACCACTAACCAGGACTAAAACTCATATTTTGATGATGACGAACAAGGTTATGGAGAGATATGTCAACATCTCCGAATTATTTAGGTTATGTCACAAAGTTGCTTTATTGACTATAATAGAATTGAGCTCTTTTCATCTTATACATGACATCTATCAAAGTAACAGGCTAGGGTTTTGTGATAAAGTTCAGATCAACTCAACTTACTAGATAATGGCGCAAAAACAGTCTATACTTAGAAAAAGAAACCACAAAACTGTTCACATTTTATGATGTACAGCAGGGCTGTTGTCAAGTCAGGGTGGTCCAGGGCAGTGTGTTGGTGTTTTTCTGTGTGCCCAGATGGTGCCCTGGCACTTTAAAACTGAAGTGAAAATGAAGCCATTGTACCCACTTAATAAATACCCAACCACTAAAGTGGAAGCACAAATGTGTTTTGTGATTTGAATCTTCATTTAAGTATACAAATGTTGTCAAATAACAACGAGAATGGCATCATATAACTTCTTTAAACTTGGAGCTGCATGCCAAACCACCCTGACACTTCCATTTTTTGTACTGCACCCCTGGTTTGCCAGACTTTTTGTATGCTTTGTCATTAATGGATTGATGAGAGAGATGAGCTTTCAACACAAAACTAAAGAAGTGTGTTTAATAACTAAAAATAAATTACATGATGATGGGTTTGGATAATCTTTTATTCAAAGGCATTAGTATCAAGAGAGAGAGAAAGGGAAAGTATATATATATATATATATTCCACAGTGTTCAGGACTTAGTCATGGCAAAGAGTATAGAAAGCCAGAAGGCGGGAAAATAAGTCAGTGATGAATCTGTGTGAAGTTCGGTCACAAATTGCAATTGTGAAATATAATTAACAAAATTGTGATTACTGAAGTAGCCTGGCACTTGAATTTCCAGAATCCCAGTTGCATTAAGTAATGTTACAGTACAGTATAAACTCTTACAGTGAAGCAAAGCAATATTCACATTAATACTGAAAATAAAAAATGTAAGTAATCCTACTCTGTGCATGGCCATGCATTCTTACAGTTCTAACATACCAACTAATGCTGAAATACAACCTATGTGGGGTTCTTAGTCATAACAGACTTTTGTGGAAACAAAGGCACTGCTAAACTCAGAATTACAACGGCTTTTTTGAAGAAGTATTCACTTATCTGGACAGTACTAGGGGAAAATAAAATATATACAAAGTACGAGTAATAAAATTACATTCACTTACCCCTCTTACAGCAGAATATATGATATTAATGACAGAATATTTTGCAGGACTGCAGGTGAAAGGAAGAGAACAAAAAGGTACAGAATAGTAGTTATTAATTTATTTAACATTCCCCAAGTATGAACAGTTAATGAAGAACTAGAATGTTTCATTGGAACATACATAAATCAGTGTGTTTCTGGCCAAAGAGAATAATAGTTAAAGAGCTGAGTGGAGAATTAAATTTATTATGATATGTTTTCCACATATTGTAATATTGTAATTGTACCATTTATATTGACCCTCCCCCAGTGATAGTGGTGGTGGTGGTGGTGTTTGTAGTAATAGTAGTAGTAGTAGTAGTAGTAGTAATCATTAGTATAGTGGTAGGCATTGTAGTAGTAGAAGTGGGAATGGGACACAGGAGTAGGAGTAGTATTCTCTGTAGAAAAATGGAAACAACAGCAGTAAGATTCTCTATCTTAAATACTAGTTTGAGGATAACAGCATTAGCACCATTTTAATCCTCCTTTGGTAAGGGAGAATTTTTCTCATTTTTAGCATCTCTGTATTCCAATCATATATTTTTGAATTGTCATGAAACGTAAAGAGAATTTTGATGGGGTCATGAACGTAGAGTGATGCGGGCATACTCTCCATTCTGGAATAATGCTAGCACTGTAAAAAGAAATGACAAATTTTGGGATAAGAAAAGAGATGGAGGGGGGCGGTATTTCATGTGACTGGTTGTACTTATTTTTGTTTTAATCAGAGAGTAATGGCCAAGCAGAAGAATAGATCTCAGTGTGAGTATGTAACCCAGCTTCACAATTTCTGAATAAATGAAAGTAATAATGGTTTTCAAAGGAGGACATTAAGAAAGAACTCATGTCATCTGAAATTGTTGACAAAGAAGGAAGCACTTGTTGCATTCTCAGGAAGAAGATTGGTAGGCTTGCTGACCTTGACCTTGACATTTACCTTTGCCAAGAAAAATGTTTAAGAGAAGTGAGAATGGATCTGGACCGCAAACTGAAGGTAAACATGTTAGATAACTATTATTTCTAAGCAAATTAGGAATAAGGTCTTCCCAATGAAAGCAATATTTATTTATTTCGTCTCTATAGATCGTTGTTACATGATATAGGAAAAGTCAGTTACTGTACATTGGCTGATTACAATAAGAGAAAGAAGTTACAATACTTACAATTGTTTACATTAGATTACAGTAGATTATAATAGTTAAGAGTTCATATGCCGGTCACGGTAGCCGAGCGGTCTAAGGCATGTACTGTCTTCGCTCGCTTGGAAACCAGGATCGTGGGTTCGAATCACACTCAGGGCATGGATGTTTAGTTTGTGTGTGTGCGTTTTTCTGTGTTTGTGCCTTGCGACGAGCTGATCACCTGCCCAAGGAGTCCTACCGAATGTGTAAGATCTAGAAAAACCGAAGAGAACGGAGAAGTTCATGGAAGTAGGCCTAGGCGCACTGGGGCTGTAGTGCCAAGATGGTGGTGGGGGGGGGGAAGAGTTCGTATAGAGTGAGGTGGNAATAAAGAATGTATTTTATATTAAATTCGCTGCACCCAATGGACATTGCTATCTGTTAGGAAGAGTGATGGGCCCAGATGCCTGCTACGGAGAAGTGCACTATATTAATGTACACAATTTCATAGCATTGTATCCACCCAGCGCATTTACAACAGCCACACGCACCCACAGCCATGTAGTTAGAAATGAATTTACCCATTATGTTAGAATTTCTCAGTGGCATGTGAATGCCGAAGTATTTTGAAAATTGGATCCGGTAACTTTTTAAAGAGGCGTAATGGCATACTCACTAGGTGGCGATGATGCAACCTGGTTTGTCCACTGGCACAACTATTTCTGAGTAGGTGTGTCCGATAGTGGGCAATTACGAATAACTGAAACGGAACGTAAATTTATACATCCTTATGTAGAGCAGAATTCGATGAACAGAAGCAGAGGAATGGTGAGACCGAATTCCAGTGATGTTCGCTATCTAAGTAGTTGTATATGTGTCGATTTCTGGTTTTTAGAATATAAGAAATTCTCAATAAATTCAAATATCTCTTATAAAATAGTGTAATTTAAATTGTGGGATGTTTAAATGAATCGCGTATTTTATATTTCAAAATTTATTTGGAATAAAAGTGTTATTATCATTTTTTCGAAGGTTCTGAGAATTTGTAATCTTTTAAAAAAATCAGTATAGTTAGTAGTATACTGTAGTGAGTTGAACAAGATTATGAAATTACTGAAACTCAAACTCTGTTATTTATAGAAAAAGAATATTAAATGTTAAAGGGTTTGTACAAAAAATGGGAAAACTACATATACATTTAATGTTCTTTTTCTTCAAATAACAGAGTTTCTTTGAGTTTCAGTAATTTCCTAATCTTATTCAATTTACTACAGTATACTGCTATACTACTGTGTATACTACTATACTATGCTATACTATACTATACTACACTATACTGTACTATACTATGCTATACTATACTATACTATACTATACTATACTATACTATACTATACTACACTATACTATATCGTCGTGTGTTGCCTATGTAACGCGACAAGTAAATTCACGCGGGTCTCGGATTTGGCTAAGACATTTATAGAGAAATCTCTTTCATACTCGCAAGTACAATTATTCGCAACTTCACTATCACAATTATTTGCACCGCTGATCTAGGTGGAGTGTCTTCATCCTTTTTGTCGGGTGCGATCTTTTTTCTGCTCTAGTCGTGTTTTACTCGTTTCATTTTTATATTATTAAAGTAGTAGAGTAGATGAGAAAACAAAATACGCAATATGTTTTAAATATTCCAAATATATTTTAAAATACTTCTCACATTTAACCTTACAAACTCCACAACGCATGACGCCAGAAACAAATGAACTAATTCTATTATCCTGTATAGCTTTCCAGTATCCCTTTTTTGGTCCTATGAAAAGTATTGATGTTTGGAAACGACAGGGACAGGTCATTGGGCCAGGAAATATCGGGGCCGCAATTCGAAACGTTTTGTGATCGTCAAGTCTCTCAAGTTCTAAGACATTTTTATGGCGAATTCATATCAGAAATAAAGCAGTAACATATTGCCCAGAAAAGTAGAAAATCTGAGATGGAGACATGGATTCGTTTTCCGTAGACGTCCGTGTAAGCTACTTCTGTCTGTTAGGTGTGTAATTCGTCGGCTATGAAAATTATTCTTTTATACGTGTCTTAAAATCAGATTTCCTGCCTTTGCTGCCACTGTGGGCACGATGAGATTCTGCGCTGCTGATTCCAAGAACGGTAAGGCATTGTTTCAAAATGGTGTTTAAATTGTGTACTCTTGTTCAGAATTAAGTAATAATACTGAGTGCGCAGAATTTAGTACTATTAACCATTTATTATTACTATTATTATCTTTGATTTGTGTTAATGGAATAATAATATTATTACTACATTACTATTCAAGTGTTATAAATTTCCTTGCTTTGTATTTTGTTTGTGTGTGTTTTGTTTCTTTTTTCTATACTCTNCGGCAAGCGGCGATCGCTCGGTCGGTATATTTCGCTTGCTGATTACAGGCCACGGAGTTTGAATTATTATTATTAAAATTGCCTACTACAATGCCATGAAGAAATATAGAGGACATAATTAACACTGCAGCAGGTGGTATGCACGGTCATCTTCCCGCTCAAGTCATATTTACCTTCAGAGAAGATTCCTGTAACCCGCTGGATAGCAGCCATTCTGAACTAAGAGGTGAACATGAAAGTTCCACCCGGAACTATATCACCTCTCTCCAGTCCGTAGTTTGCCGCTTCATGGCTTATTGTTATTTTTGTTGTAGTGATACACTTTTGGTCGTAAGGAGGGAGATCATTTGTTATATTTCGAAACCGATAGCTAGTGAGAGGCCGATGTGCTAGCCATTAAATCAAAGAAACAGAAGGAAATAGGCAGACAGAAGAGGCCGTTACACCAAGGCCAGGGCCTCTTATACAGTAAAATCCTACTACTCTGTCGCGGCCCTGAGCATAGAGGGCGTGGCACCGGGCGACCTTCTAGTGTCGCAGTAAGGGTCAGTATGCCGCTCTGAGTGGCCAGCTTTCACCCTTATTGCACAACTCACTTTCAAAATAGACTGTGACACCCACACGCTACATAGCAACATCACTTTACCCAACTTTTATTAATGTGCATAGAAATAACAAAGCATTGATCGTACAATTGTTCGTCGCCGAAAGGAGAACTGCTCTACGACGAGTACAGCAGCAAAGGAATTTTCTGGCTTTACAGTGTTTCCTTCCTCTCCATATTGACAGCACTCTGTCGTCAAGCAGGCTCGCGGCACTGGCCAAGGGCAGTCATTAGTTGACTGTGTAACGTTCGTACATGCTTCTAATATACGTACCGGATGCACCAAAATCCTGACTACAACACCCGAAAATATGTCTTACTATATAAGGCGTTAGGGGGCACGCGGTAGCGTAGTTGGTTGAGGAACTATGTTACAAGCCGGAAGATGGCGAGATCGAAACCCGATGAGATGGATTTTTTCAATTGACCTAATCCTTCCAGCCGTACTATGGCCCTGGATTCGACTCAGCCTCTAACAGAAATGAGTACCAGGAATATTCCTGGGGGTAAAGGGTGGACGGCGCGTAAGGCTGACAACCTCACAGTCATCTGTGAGCCAATTGTCTAGAAAATGTGGGAGCCTCAACATTTCACAATCCTATGGGCCTCTATGGCCTGTTACAGGAATACCTTTACATATAACGACTGTTCTCTTTCACATACCTATAACTATATAAACAATTAGCGGAAATTGTAAATAAATTATTGCCCGTTTCCGCGCCCATTTTACCAAAAGCCGTATGCCTATTAGCATTATAATTCCCCACTGAAGAATGTTCGTTGCTCAGCAAAGAAGGAAACACACATCACAAGACACGGTTTACACAGAATATAAGAAAAACGACCCCCATGGTGGAAGAACCACACGCAAGTTTTAATTATGACACTTCCCCCCCNTTATAAAGGCAAGCAATGAAATAGATTAGCGTAATTAGGGCACCTGATGATGGCACTATGTTGCCGAAACATGTCGTGAAGTAACAGGTGAAATTGAGTGCACTACAAGACGGCAACTGTATACATATCATGGATGAAAATCAGTGCAACAGGACGCTAAAATACAACATACAACTTGGTTTCAGGAAAAGAGTTTTGAAGGCTGTGGATCAAAATGACAGTTGATTTCTCTATATAAAACAGAAATTCCATGCGTAAGCGAGGTAAAATCAAAGAAATTATATTCGTGGGCTCGATATTTGGAGAAATAATGAGAACCATCTGATATTAAACTTTATGAAAGTTGAAGAACTACGTTTATATTGAAGAACATTTAAAGCAGTGACCAAGAATTTTCTTGGAAAATTCAAGACAAAAGATCAGGTCACTTGCTGAAGAATCCTCCAATGCACATAATTTCATATGTAAAGTGTCATTAAATTCATTTTTTGGACTCACATCTGAACTTCTTCCTGATTAATTGGGGCGCTCTTGGTGATGAGCATGGGGTAGGCATTCGCGAAGAAATATCCGTGATGCAGAAGCACTATCAGGGCAAGAGGAGCCAAGAATTCTGGCTGACCACTACCGAACTTTAGAAAGTGATGCTTCTTGAAGAGGAATACAAGCGTAAATCACGAGTAGCTGCATTTTAGATGGAATTAGTATGCAGTTTCTTCATGGATGTAAAATTAGTTTAAATGAGTCCAGATTTCGACCGCCTCTCTGATCTAGTGGTCAGAGTTCCTGACTACAGATCCAGAGGCCCCGGGTTCGATTCTCGGCTCTACCAGATTTTCTGAGAAGTAGTGGGTCTAGAACGGGGTCCACTCAGCCTCGTGAGGATAATTGAGGAGCTATTTCTATGAAATAGCGGCTCCGGTCTAGAAAACCAAGATTAACGACGGTGTGGATCCGTTGCGCTGACCACGTGACACCCTCTATCGGCTAAAGTTTGCACTAACTTCGCCGATAAGCGACGGTCGCTCGGTCCGTATAGTTCGCTTGCGGACTACAGACCACGGAGTTTGTTTTTGAGTACAGATTTCATTTTCGATTCATTCAATATTGGTGGATATATTTGACACAAGAATTTAGAAGACCTAAAAGATCTGCCTGTTTTTGTATACGTAACAAAAGTATATGTAACAAACCATTTTAGTACCACAGAAACTGAGAAATTTCTCCTTGTTTTCTGGAACCCAAAGGTTCAGTAACGAATCCACAAGAACCCACCACCGGTTCCTATCCGAAGCCAATTAAATCAGTATACATAATCACCCCCTAGTTTGTTTGAAGATCTATTTTACCGCCTGCACGTTGATCTTCTAAGTATGCATTCTCACGTCTCCCTTACTTGCTACACGCTCAGTCTCATCTTTGACTTATTCACAAAATTTATTAAGCTCCTCATTATGGAAATACTTCAACTTCCATATCACTTGCTCTCTCTCTCTCTCAGGAGAGAGAGAGAAAAAAATTCAGCAGAACTTTGTTGTCAGACACCTCTCCTTTAATGTGAAAGGGCAAGTTCTGAACTCTTGTAAGACAGTAGGCAAAGTAACAATTTCACGTTTTTAAACAACGTATGGGAAGACAAAGTATTCCGAGCTGAATGTAATCATCAGCTTAGAGTAGAGATTGTCGTGTCCCATTTAAGTCCAGTTCCTCATGATTTTCTTGCACGTTCCTAATGCCTTGTTCCAAAAAAAAAACTAAAAAGCAATTGTTTTAAAGCATCTCCTTGTTTCAGGCCATTCTGAATCAGAAATGCTGAAGACAAACACAGCGCCTACTCAGTCTTTCTTAAGATGAAGGAATATACTGGTACGCCATCTATACTGCTTTTACAACCTGATTCTGGAGGAGATTCAGGTGGCTTGTGCAAGGAGCATATTTGTGAGGATTAAGAGGCGTGCACAGCATTCTTATGGAAACCCTGTGGTCATAGGCTACCCCAATGGCAAGACAGGTAAATGATGTTGCGATATGTTGGAACGGCGAAAAGAACTGAAATATAGCTGATTCGTGATATAAGTAGACAACCGTAACGAGGCTCTCGTTTATTGCTCAAACTGGATTTTTTTTTTGCTTCTGTTTATGTGGCAACACTGAGAGGTAGCCTGTATCCAGGTCGTGGCACTGCTCTGAGCATGAAAGCTCTGAAGCTCTGAAGCTGGTAGTTGCTAGAAAGTTACGAGAGAAGAAGGAAGCAGCGCCATAGTGGTCTGATTCTGAATGTGTCTGTGAAAACGTGCGCCCATCACAACAATGTCTTCCATGGTGTACGTAAGAAGCTTCGAGAGAGACACGGTGAGTACTACTTTATGATTTGTTTGTTAGATTCCTGTAACACATAACCTGAATTGTCAGACGTTCATCATCAAAATTGGTCCTTGGAGAAGATGTTACATTTTCTAGAAGGAATTGAATATTCCGTCAATGATCAAAGTCGTAGCCATCGATTTAGTTTCAGGTATTTTAGTAGTTTTACATGTTCAAAGAGTACCAATTTCTTCACAAAAGAAAGTTTTATGAATTCTGTCATTAAATTCCTACGGATAATTATTGAACATAGAAGTAGGCCTAACGGAATTTGAACACGTAGAAAACATAGATTTTAAACGTTAACAGGCTGGGCATTTAAAAGTGGGCTCTGAAAACTCTGCGTGTTTTAGCTGTTTTGTGTTCAGATGTTGAGACAAATTGTTGTGTTACATGATTAAGTAGCTGCATGGTTTGTAGCTACGTGCTTCAGTAAGAAGGTCACTGTAAGCAACTGACGCCATGTTGAATTTTACCTCTGTTGAGCACCATTGTGCTCTTCCAGAGTTCGCAGAATCATAGCCTAGTAACGGGCTGTTAAAAATGTCGGTTGTCAGTGCAGTAAATTAAGACAAAATTGTATGATGTGTAGCGCACTATGCAGTATTGCCAGGGGTTTAGGTGAAAAGGTGTTATTCCACATACTACTTGTCATTTAAATGTGTCAAAATATTGTACACGTATTGTGACATTTGTTAGCTGTCTCACCTGTCTCATCTGTCTCTCCTGCATGCTGAGCTGCAAATCGCTTGGTGCTGTGTGCGAGGAAGCCCAACTCACAAAGCTGTGCCACCCCCGTGTCAAATCCTCGACACCAAATTTGTTCACCATTCCATATTACGTACTCATTGTGAAACCGCAGTTCTTGTAACATCGTTAAGTCAGTGGTTTCGAAACTTTATAATTGCCCCAATTTAGTTTAGCCAAGATTTTACGGGCTGGACGATCGAAGGTTCGGAGTTCGAGTCCAGGTAGGATCAAGAATTTTCTCTTCTGCACGTCGTCCAGACCGACTCTGGGGTCCACCCAACCACTTATCCAATAGGTACCGGCGATAAAGAGGCCGGAGCCTGAATCTGACCACTCACATCCAGCTAGTGCTGAGATCAAGAAAATGTGGATCTGTACATCCATGCCCTCATACTCCTTCATGTCGTAGTGTTTACTTATTTAAGCACAGGAACAACTTTACCTTACCTTACTCTCAACTTTGCTTGTACAGAGAACACTTTTCTTTCTTTCTTTTTTTTTTTTTAAATCAACACATAATAGTTTGTGATCAATATTTATCAAGATTTACAAATTTTGTGACGTTTTGAGTATTAAAAGTAATTAAGTTTCACTACATATTTTCTTCCCGGAACTTCACTCCTCCCTCCACGGGCTCGCACCACATTTTATAAACCACTTCTTTACGTATTTTGATATGGGTTTGAAGTGACCGCGGTTTTTCTGGCAAATTGCAAATCACAGGATCGGTAAGCTTGCGTACTAGGCCTCAGTTAGAGCTTTGGCTGTCTACAAAATACCGAGCCTCGAAGAATGCTGGAACTCTCTTTGCGTAGACGAAGGAATAAATTGGTTATTATGCCATAATCATACGCCCACGTAATTCGTATAGGTAAATAGCTATCCCTGTAACAGGCCGTGAAGGCCCATAGGGTTGTGAGACTTCGAGGTTCCCACATTTTCTAAAGAATCGGCTCACAAATGGGTGATAAGGTTGTCAGCCTTACTCGCCGAGCTCCCTTTACCCCCAGGAAGATTCCCGGTACTCAGTTCTGTTAGAAGCTGAGTCGACCCCAGGGCGGCTTGAAGGATTAGGTAAATTGAAAAAATCCACCTCATCGGGATTCGAATCCGCGACCATCCTGCTTGTAGCATAGTATCCCAACCAACCACGCTACCGAAGCACAATAGACCACTGTAGGTCGCGGTGCAAGGGCCGAGAAGGCCCACCCCTTATACATTCATTCATTCATTCGTTCATTCATTCATTCATTCATTCGTTCATTCGTTCAACTACGCTACCGAGGAGGCTACCGAGTACCCCTCATACCTACAGCATAATGTAATGAACTCATTATTCTTTGAAATTTCCACATAATCGCTGAAGTTGTTTTAGATCGTTTGACATATTTATAGAAAATAGTTAATTGGACCTACCTGTAGGAATTTCGACCACTGTAAGGTAAGGTAAAATTGTCCATTTGTTTAACTAATTAAGCACCATGCCATGAAGGCGTATGGGTGAGTGGATATATACATCCACATATTTCAGCCACTGCCCTTGCAGAAATTTGTGATTATTTTCGGTTCCTCTGGGTTAATGCAAGAACGTCAGTACAAAACGAAAAGACGTTCCTAGCGATAAACAATTAACTGCTGCGTGTCCGCATCTCCTGTTTCGTCAGAAACCCTACACGATGAGTAAATCCTGTCAGTTTGCCGATTGAAACCTTGTAGCAGTAAATGTGGTTCAACAGAGAAACTCCGAAGAGATCTGATTCCTATAAAGGGCGGAATACATTTAAGGGAATGTTATTATTGTTTTGGCACCAGCTACACGTTGGAACATTTTAAGTAAGTCCAGTTTCTACGGGAGACTGCCTCTGTGGTCTAGTGGTCAGAGTTCCTGTTTACAGATCCAGAGGTCCGGGTTCGATTTCCGGCGCTACCAGATTTTCTGAGAAGTAGTGGGTCTGAAACGGGGTACACTCAGCCTTATGAGAATAATTGAGGAACTATTTTAAGGAAATAGCGTCTCCGGTGTAGAAAACCGAGATTAACGACCGCGGGGATCCGTTGCGCTGACCACGTGACAACCTCTACCCGCAAAATTTGACACTAACTTCGCTGACAAGTGGCGGTCGCTAAGTCGGTATAGTTCGCTTGCGGACTACAGGCCACGGAGGTTTTCTGTTCAGTTTCTGTGGGAATACTATGAACTGTGAACTGACAGTGACCTAGTAGTAATTGTGTCCATATTTTATTGTTTCCTATTGAGGCGCAGCAGTTTCCTGCTTCTGTTTAGCGACGGTCCTGGTAAAACGCACTTCACTTGTTTATCCGGCTACGGTGGTTTCTATCCCGTTTCAGTAATCGGACAAATAGAAGGTTACAGATTACCTTGATCTTCCAATTTCAGTAGCAGTTGAATAGCTGTAAGAGCTTCACACTTTTTAAGCTGTTATAAAGCGGGGCAGAGGTCTCAGCTGATAAGACGGATTTGGCGACCCAAGTGACCTCAGACTGCAAATCATTTCTTTTATACGTTTTAAGTAATAACTTTAAATGCTTTGAACATCACGTGACAAATCGCCTGATACTCGTAGAATGAAAGTTGCTATAGTGCAATTTTTTTATTTACTCACACAGACTACTACTACTACTACTACTACTACTACTATTACAGTGGCGGGTGACGCAGTGTACTTTTGTTGGTAGGCACAAATTCTTCGAAGAAAGTTCTGCTTTAAGGTACAAATATTTATCTATGGATATTTTCATACCGACAATTAGAAACCATAGTCACTGTAATTAGTAATAATAATGGATTTAGGACAGTAAAATTTTCCGCTTCAAAAATATAATGAAGAATACACAGTAGAAATACCGCAGCAGACACAAATACGCCTACACTTGGATTTCTTCTGCTGGAAAGTCATGCAGTAATATAGATCTCGTTTTGACAGACACAAGACAGAGTTCAGGTATGCTTGACGTGTTATTATTAGAGAAATAGATTGTGATAATGACCAGTTTCCAGAGACAACTTATCTTTTATTCGCGAACATAACAGTAGTTTGAAAACCATATGCAAATAGCATACCGGTGTGCATCTTAGGAAATTGCCATTGAACCTGAGAATCTTGTTTTTCGGGCTCTGCAATTTCAGTAAACCAATTTATGCTGCAAAGTCCCAGGCAGGCCATGCGTAAGCCCTTATGGACCTAGTGAATCCTTTGTGTATGGTTAGTCTAATATTAGCTCTCATTTCTGAATAACAAATAACCCTAATACATATTCTAAAGGCCTCGGATTCGATAATTCCTACAAGTAGTCTTCATATAATCTTTTACCAGATATGACACAGAGATATTTTACAGAAGATATATGCAGTCCATTCGATGAAATATGAGCCTTACCGGTCTTAATCTGCAAGAGAAATAAGTAAAGTAAAAGTAAGAAAAGATATGGCCGCGCCATAGCTCAAGGGGTTAGTCGCTGGCTTCCCACTGCGGCAGGCCGGGTTCGATTCCGGGTCTGTTCAAGTGGGATTTGTGGTGGACACAGTGGCGCTGGGGCGGGTTTTCTCCGAGTACTTCGATTTACCCTGCCAATCTTCATTCCACCAAATTCTCCATCATCATAATCACCTTAGGAAGGTACAATAGGTCAATCAGTGGCCGCCGGGCCGAGTGGACCCAGCTGGACTCCACCCACCACTAAGCGAATTAAAAAAAAAAGTAAAGGTATCCCTGCAATAGGCCGTGGTGGCCCATAGAGTTGTGAGGAGGTTCCCACATTTTCTAGACAATCGGCTCATAGATGACAGCAAGTTTGTGAGCCTTACGCGCCGGCCGCCCTTTACCCTCTACTCGACCCCAGGGCCATAGTGAGGCTGGAAGTATTAGGTCAATTGAAAGAATCAATTTACCTCATCGGGATTTGAACCCGCGACCTTCCGGCTTGTTGCATAGTGCCTCAACCAAGTACGCTGCCGCGTGTCCCCAATCTGTAAGAGAAATAGATGAACTAATTATTATTATCGTCACGGTAGCCGAGCGGTCTAAGGCACTGTCTTCGCTCTCTTGGAAACCGGGATCGTGGATTCGAATCCCACTCAGGGCATGGATGTTTAGTTTGTGTGTGTGCGTTTTTCTGTGTTTGTGTACAGGTAGAGGCCTTGCGACGAGCTGATCACCCGCCCAAGGAGTCCTACCGAATGTGTAAGATCTAGAAAACCGAAGTGAGCGGAGAAGTTC